GCAGCGTCACCAGTCATCTTAATATTGTGGAAGATATACCTGCACTTAAATCATTGAAACCAGACTTTTTCTATCACAGTGCTTCTAGTAAGAGTTGTTTTAGTTGCACTGAGAGTAGTACCACTTCCAGCACTAATCTTAATCTTGTCAGCGTTGGTCTGGATAGTACGCATCGTTGTGGGGGTTAGACCAAGCACAGTGGCTATGTCCACAGCACGTTCCCCTTTTTCAAATCGGGTTAATACATCCATTTTCACAGCAAGGATAATGGTCTTACATTGCCTCTTTACTACACTAGCTTCAGTAGCACTTGATGAGCACATTTCGAATGGTTAGAGCAGTGATTTTCAACCTTTTTCATCTCACGGCACAGTGAGCCAGGCACTAAAATGGTCGAGGCACACAGTCAGTATTTAAGGATAGATTTGATCATTTAAAAGAAAATGAATGTTAAGAATGTGTTCATAATTTAATAAAACTAATAATTTTTTAATTTTATTGCCAAAAGTATATTGTTGATCATGGTTTTCAAAATGATTTGAAAGTTTTGTGCATATTTGTTATTACTACACATTGAAACAAGTTGTCATTGAAAAGATGCCATTCATTAAAAAATAATATGAAACTTTCAGATATAGATTGTATTCAAATACAAACATGAGTAAAAATAAAAGGCCTTTGCTTACATCAAAATATCAGTGGGAAATCTGTGCTTGGTGTTGTCTCATGATGTTCCTTGTCCGAGGTCGAATGGTTGACAGGCATACCCTCAAGTCCTCCTCCAGTGTTTGAAGCTTCGATCTGTTCTTGCTTTCATGTTGTTCATAGCAGAGAAGCCAGCTTCACACAGATACGATGTTGAGAAGGAAGAAGTGCTTCAATTGCCTTTTTTGTAATGATGGGGTATTCCTCTCGAAGGGACAACCAGAATGAAGTCATATCTGTTGATAGGTGCTTCAGTTTCAGTCCTCTGTTGTTTCTGATTTCCGTCAGCTCATCCTCTTCGGCAACAGTTAATCCTGCTGACTCACAAGCACTTACCACAAACGGATCTCTCACCCAATCCAAGGAAGATACATCAAGTGATGGGAAATACTTTTTAATGTTTTTACTCAGTAGCAACAAACGTTGTAGAATTAAACTGACAAGATTTTTTTCCAGTCTGCAACCTTTTGTCAGTTCAAACATTTTAACTTTGTTCTCTTTTCTTATTCTGGCTCCACACAGTGTTAGTTTTTCCTTAAAAGAGCTAACTTTGTCAGTACAAGTCAGAATATTTTCATTCTTTCTCTGCATACTCTCATTAAGAGTGTTCAAGGCTTGGAATATATCAGCCAGGAATGCAACTTCATTGCACCAGGTTTCATTACTAAGCAGGTCAGCCAGCTCAGACTCTTCTGATGTCAAAAATATAAGAAACTTCTCCCTTATTTCATAAAACCGCAAAAGCACCTGCCCTCGAGACAACCACCTCACTTCTGTGTGTAGTAGAAGTTGTGTGTGAGCAGATTCCATGGCAGAACACAGTGTTGAAAACAACCTTGATTTTAATGGCTTACTTTTGATATACAGTGGTCCCTCTGTTAACGAACACAATTCGTTCCAGAAGGTCGTTCGTTAATCAAAAATTTCATTAACCGAAACCATTGTTTCAATGGGATTTTGGGTAATTTGTTCCAGCTCACCGAAAATTACATACAAAGTAAAAATAAATGCAGTAAAGTACACTTACTTTGAGGTGTGTATGTAGAAGGCTCCTGGTTGATGATGATGATGGGAATTAGAAGTGGGGGTGGAGGAGAAGGGAGAAGAGAAGGAAGTGGGGGTGGAAGAGAAATCACCCCATGCTTGATGCAGTAATTTCACCCATAAAATTTTAAGTTCACTAGGTGTAATTCAAGTTTATTTTCTTTAAATCAACACTTCACTGCACTATATATTATCAATATGTTAAATAAATTTCAGAATTACGAATAATTGTACTGTAAAAATAGTTTATGTTCAAGAGAGCCACAAGCAAGATGTTACCTCCACTGACCAGAGATACAAACTGATGCCTTGCTGGGCGAGTCAAGTGGCTCATTGGCACACGAAAAACTAGTTTCCTGGACTGCAATTATGTTAAATAAGTGTTAAAATGACTAAAAATTTTAAAATAAAACTTGGAAAATGATTGGATAGTACAACCTTCTTGATATTTACTCAAATGGGAATGAATTTAAGCCCTAGAACCGATTACTGTACTGTATTAGCGGACTAATATTCCAGCTGGTGAGCAAGTGAAAACATGTTGACATGATTTCGTAAAAATTTCGTTAACCGAATTTTTTTTCGTTAACCGAATTGAAGATTCTTATGGAAGGCAATTCGTTAACCGAAATTTCGTTAACCGAGGCATTCGTTAACCGAGGGATCACTGTAGTAGTTAACTATTTTGATCGTCTCATCTAATACTTTTTGGAGCTCAGGTACTACTGGTTTTGAAATGCGCTCCATAAAAGTACCAGTAATGTCAAAACTTATCCAAATGCTATTTAAACTCCCGCGACACACTAATGTGCCGCGGCACATTGGTTAAAAATCGCTGGGTTATAGTATAGTTTTAGAGCAAAAGCACTTCAGCACACACAAATGATGTGAAGTCGTAACAGAGACTGGCTTGGCGTCTCTGTGAAGTTCCGCGAGTGAGGGCAGCGCGCCGAGCCGAGAGAGCCTAGCGCGGCCCGACAAAAGCGGGTGGCGCGCCATAGAAAGTAATCCGTGACGACGCAAAGCGACGTATTGTAGTATCGTATCACCGGGACGTTAAACAAATTTTTGGTCTCTAAAGTTTAGCGATGTAGTACCGAAACAACGTTAAGCAGGACGACGTTATACGAGGATTACTGTACTCTAATATGGCACAGAAATAAAGAAAATATAATATAAAACTATAAAATAAGAAAGGTTAAGAGCATAGGTGTGTTTGTTTGGAGGCAGTGAGCTCTACTGTATCGCTGAGGACCACAGGCACATACGTCTCGGAGTCAGCTGATTGAGTTCCTGGCTGAACAGTGTGGCATGCATATAATATATGTTATTGTATTTCATGATACAGGGTATGCTATGTATAATTTTTATTATTTATCATACCAATTTTTGTTAACAAAGCAGTTATAGCCCTACTGGTGGCAGACACATGAAAGAATGACTAAAGTTGCATTCAGTTTATTGGACTAAATTTGAATTTTTACTGAACAGGACCAAAGAGGACAATGTCCAGGTGCCTGAAAGCTTCAGATAGTTGGAATTTAGATAAGAGGAAATGCTCAATAAATTAAGTAAATTTTATGATATCGGATTTACCATAAAAGTGGAGACATTCTGCATACAGTGGCCTGACATAAATGGGGGAGGTTGTTAGATGTTACTGGGTCACTACTACCAGAACCATATTTTACTAGGGAGTGCTGAATGTTAATTCAAGGTGCCCCAGATACTCTGTGGTGCAATGTACAGCACCTTATACAGTACCTAAAATATTGGGGTGCTTCAGCACCCTCCCTTCACACGTCCATGAACTGGGTGGAGTAAGAGGGGGACGACAGTGTCACACACATGAGAACTGACTAACCTCGGAGCGTGTGCGGGAGATTCACATCTGCCAACGGTCGGTAAAAATAATTCTAACAGCCACGTGAATAAGTTAATTCGCAAATACAGGGGATACGTATATAATAAAACACAAATATATTATCAACCTTGGAAAATACAAATTTAGACTTGTGTTTTCTATCATTAATCATCATCATGATTGTTTTATGGCCATTTTCCTTGTTTGTGCGGGTTATCCGTGAATACCTGATGGCAGCTCTCCATGATGTATGGTCTCTTACAATCTATCTTCTCTTGCAATATTTGAATTGTATACATTACTCATAAAAAATATAAAATTTCTGAGCACCATTCAGCATTTCACAAATATATATGATGTTACAAAAATGTACAGTATTTGAAAGTAAGTTATGTATGATACAATTGTTTAATTACAGAGGAATTTTGTATACATATCCTTGTACATAAACATTCCATCTATACAGAAACATTTGGTAGTAAAGTATTTGAAGGTAAGTTATATGTTGTCACGTGAGTGGCTGCCTCTTGTCACAGGACTCCATGTGCCTTTATGTGTAACCCATAAACTTTTATGTCGTCACCAATCATTGCTAAGTTCTTAGATACTGTACAATATTAAAAGACTCGAGCAGAACCATGTTTATTCCAAAAATTTCCTAAATTATGTAAACATAGCTATACCAGCAACAACAGTATGTGAGGAAGAGAATGTCATTACCAATATTTACTCAGTGTTTTACTTACAGCACTATGACAATAGATCAAACCCAAAATTACTCAATCCTGAAATATTAAAGATTACCAAAGCAAAGTCATATTTCCTGTAAAAGTATCTTAATCTTTAAAGGGCAGGTAAAATTAGGTGTACTGTGCACCCTGGATGGAGTATATTTCTCTATGTAGAAAATGGAGCAAATTGCATAAAATAATATTGATTAAATACATGTAGAATGCACCCTTGGAATTTAGAGTATTTGTGAGATTTTGTGTAGAATTAGTTTGAGATGGTTTGGGCATATAAAGAGAACAGATGAGACCACTTGGGTCAAGATGTGCATAAGCCTAAATGTAGAGCCAGGGGTAAGCCAAGAATGACATGGGGAAAGGTAAAAAAAATTCCCTCTAAAATTATAACCTGATGAGAGAGACTGCAAGAGACCATGCAGCATGGGGAGCTGCTAACAGTAGTGGTGATGATGATAGTGACCGTGATATTCGTCTTTTGTAGTGATCTGTATTATCCTTTGGTGCATCCAACTTATACTTTCCAAGATTATTGTGGCTGCTTTATTGCATTCTGCAAGTAATACTTCTGATATTTTATTTAAATTTTGCATATATCAGCAAAGTCATAGGTAATAACTGAGCTTTATTGTATATTTCAGAATGTACGGTCACACACTAAAGGGGTACGAGTTATGGCAGGGTGGTGGATTATACATACTACCAGATCTTTGTGATATCTTGAAGGAAGAAAAAGTGGCACCTGGAAATTGTTCCTCTACAGAAAAAGGCACTTCTGTTTATGGGATCCAAGCAATAGCATGGATGAGCATCGTTCAGGTAAGTATGCAACTTCCACTTATTTTTAAAGTTTAGGGTTATCCACAGAGTTTATCTGCGTGGTGGGCTACAGTTAGTGCTGTAGGGGTGGCAGCAGCACTTTTTTGGCACTGGAATTTTACTGTCTTGGCATATAGCAGCAGTCAGTTAACTTGAATTGTTTTAGCACCCTCTCATGTGGTATTTCTCTCCCAGTTATGAGTATGGATTTGTTATTTTCTTTAAAGATGGCCCTGAATGTATCCTTGTACCTTTTCTTTTGCCCACAACATTACATTTACTGAAGCTGACTGTAGAGTAGCTACTTTGGTTCTCTATTGGGAGTACTGTAATATGTCTACTTTGATATTTCTACAGTTGGTTTCAGCAAATATTTTTCTTGTAAACTGTACTGGGTTGCCACCCAAACTGAGGAAAGAAGGCCAGTGGCCTATGAAGGAATCCTCCATTGCTCTTGATACTCTTGTCATGGGCTATTTTGAAGCCCAATACTGCTCTTAAATCCACAGCTTGAGTTAGTAGACTGTTCCATAGGTCTACTACCTTTTGTGTAAAGAAGTACAGTATATACTTATATTTGCCCTGCATGATATCGTGGCATGTGACACCATGAAAAAATTGCATGGGTTTATTTTTTCTATCCATTTCAAGATATTCAATATCTCTTATAAGATCTGCCATAATTTTCTTAATTGTCTGAAGAGTTGTTAGTCCAAAGACACCTCAATCTACTTGGATAATCAAGATGATATGGTGAGGAATAATCTTAGTCGCTCTATGTTGCACCTTTTCTCGTGATGTTAGGCCTCTCTGGAAGGAAGCTTTCCATGTTTCTGTACAGTAATCCAGATGGGGACATGTGAGAAACTTTAAAAGTTGAAGGTCCATTTTCTAATCTTTATATTTAAAAGTAAGACTTATCAGTCCTAAATCTTGGTTTGCTTGTTTCACTGCTGCTCCCACTTGTTGCACTGCCTTTAGTGATTAGTCTATCACAATACAGTGAGCCCTCAAAGACCCAGACCTGAAAAATCCAGATTTCAGAAGATTCAGACAAAATTTGGGTGTTCCGGGGGCTAAGAAGCCTCCCTAAGAAGCATTCCCAAAACAGAGCAAAGATCATTGTAGGCCCTTGTAACTAAGATGTCAGTGCGTGGGACACAGGAGCCCAAGGAGGCGGGAAATATAACAGAGTTGTCAATCGTTGTTTGTGGGAATATTATTTCATTCACTCTAGTAATGATACAATGTTTCTTATTATGTTATCATAGGTAAATGCTTGGCTTATATAATTTGCTTATCACTGTACCCATCACCATATTCAAATTAAACTACAAGATATGTATTTCTCCCATATTTTGATTGTACGCCTGGCAACGGGAGCGAGTAAGGGAAGTGAATGACCGCTAGTTAGCGCATCGTCTGCTGTTGTAACTCTCCTTACTCCCTGCCATATTTCACTGGATTTATTGTTATTATTAGTGTCAATGATAATAATGCTTAATAGTAATTAATCATGGCATCACAAGCAAGTGGTGGTGTGAGGAGAAAGCATGTACAGGTTGTACCTCTCTAGTCCGGCATTCCGTGGTCCGGAAACTCCCGTGGTCCGGAACAATTTTAGTTTGTCCAATAGGTAGATAGGCAGTTGTTCTTGTTGTTTTTTTTTTTTTACTTCTCTGAATTATTATTATTATTACAGGAGTATTAAATTTTTGCCCATTCAGGCCCCACTGTGGGTCAGTGACCTATGCCCGGGTGGGCTAATCCCCGTAAAAAAAAACAACAACAAAGCCGCGGGAAATTAAGGTTTGTTTATATACGGCAGTTCGGCTGCTCTCTCTCTTTCTCTCTCTCTCTCTCTATGCTTGTCTATACAGAGTACAACATTTAACCCTTCAATATATATGAGCAGTAAATAAGTGTTGCTTTCATATTCTTATGTAGAGTAATGACGATATGTTTTCACATGTGCACACTTACATATGCGCAGTCTCACTTTTTTTTTTACCATTAATGGTTAGCTACTTATATTGTTCCATTTATTAACATTAAATAACATTACAGGTACTTCAAACAACCATATTAATTTTTTTACATTAATTTTACTACAGCTACAATCAGTGTCTTTTTTTCTTCAGTTTTATATGTAGAACCAATCAGTCACTGGTTTTGTAAGCTTTAACAAAAACAATAAGAACATAAGAACATAAGAAAAGAAGGAGTCTGCAATAGGCCGGTTGGCCTGTGCATGGCAGCTCCTGTCGAGAGTTACTACCACTCTCTATCATCCATGAATCTATCTAGCCTCCTTTTGAAACTTTCCAGAGTTCCCGCACTTACTACAAAGTTGCTAAGCTTGTTCCACTCGTCCACCACCCTATTTGTGAACCAGTTTCTTCTTATCTCCCGCCTAAACCTAAACTTATCCAACTTGAATCCGTTGCTCCGAGTCCTATCCTGCTCGGATATTATAAGAACTTTATCTACAGTATATCCCCTTTATTGATTCCTTTCACCCACTTAAATACTTCTATCATATCTCCCCGCACTCTTCGTCTTTCTAGGGAATGCAAGTTAAGTTTCTTCAACCTATCCTGATATGGAAGGTTTCTAAGTCCCGGAATCATTTTTGTCATTCTTCGCTGCACCGACTCAAGTGAATTTATATCCATTCTATAATAGGGGCACCAGAACTGAACCGCATAATCGAGGTGCGGCCTGACTAGTGCAAGATATAGTTGCAATAAGACCTCTGCACTCTTGTTACTTACACTTCTAGATATAAAACCCAATACAGTGGGGTATGCTATAACGAACGGATCCTACTACGAATATTCCTATAACGAACGGTTTTACCTATAAAATTGAGAATGCTATAACGAACGAAACTCCTACAACGAACATTATTTATTTATTTATTTATTTATTTATTTTTTTTTTTTACTAATTTATTGTTTTTTTATTACAAGTATTAATGATACTCATTATTTCAGGGGTTTAGATGCATATTTATGCACTTTTTTACAATTTTATATTATATTTTTCAGTGTTAAGTGGTTGTATTTGGGGGCCTGGAACGGATTAATCCTATAACGAACGAATGCTATAACGAACAAGGTTCTAGAACCAATTAGATTTGTTATAGCATACCCCACTGTACTCTGTTGGCCTTATTTCGAACAATAACGCACTGTTTTCTAGGCCGTAGGTCCGGGCTTACAAGTACCCCTAGGTCTCTTTCACAAGTCGAATTCTCTAGGTTGATGTTATTAAGGCTGTATACATTATAAGTATTTGTTCTTCCAATATTAAGTACACTGCACTTGCTGGTGTTGAATTTCATTTGCCATTTTTCAGACCACCCCTGCAGTTTATTTAGATCCTCCTGTAATGCATTTGCATCCTGCCCTGAATTAATTTGCCGCCCTATTTTGGTGTCATCCGCAAAGTTGCTTATGTCACTGCTGATCCCAGTATCTAGATCGTTTATGTAGATTATGAACAAGAGTGGGCCTAGTACTGACCCCTGGGGAACCCCACTGGTTACACGGCCCCACTCAGATTTAAGACCATCTACGCTGACCCTCTGCGTTCTATCGGTGAGCCATGATTTTATCCAATTTATAACTTTCCCCTAGATACCATGAGCCTTAATTTTTCTCAGAAGCCTCTGATGCGGTACTCTGTCAAATGGTTTGCTAAAGTCTAAGTAAATAACATCGTAATTTTCGTCATTATCTACTACCTCAAAGACTTTCCTAAAGAACGTTAGCAGATTTGTTTGACAAGATTTTCCCTTTGTAATCCCATGTTGAGAGTCGTAGATTAATTTGCTTTTCTCTAGATGCGATCGGATGCTATCTGCTATAATTGATTCAAGAAATTTCCCCACTACTGATGTCAAACTGATTGGCCGGTAATTTGACGCTGATGCTCTGTCTCCCTTTTTGAATATGGGTACTACATTTGCCTGTTTCCACAAGTCTGGCATAACTCCAGTGTCTAATGATTTTGTAAATAAGTTTACGAGGGGTCCACTAATCTGTTCCCGACACTCTTTCAAGACTCGAGGGAAATTTTCATCCGGCCCTGGGGATTTTATTTTCTTTAGTTTATTTATCTTCTTAAGAACATCCTCTTTTCTGATAGTGATATTCTTTAATTTCTCTTCTTCCTTTCCCTTAAATATCAGTTCCACCTCTGCAATTTCATCGCAAATTTCTTCTGTGAAAACTTTTAAGAAGTAGCTATTCAATGCTTTGCTTATTTCTTCACTGCCATTTATCACTTCTCCCCTCCCTGACTTTAAAGGCCCAACTTTGTCCTTGACCTTTGTCCTATATACCTGGAAAAATCCCTTGGGATTCGCCTTGGATTCTCTTGCTATTTTGATTTCATAGTCTCTCTTTGCTTTCCTTACATTCCTAGATAGTTCATTACACCTATTTCTGACCTGCTCCTCCCCTCCCTTTAATTTCTTATATATTCCTTATATATTCCAATGCCGGCAGCCGTCTCGTCTCCTCGTGTGTTTTAATATTCCACGTATTATTAGTAAATTGTATTGTTAATTTTGCACACACAAACATTAATTCAATAAAAACAAATTCAGAAACATTAATTAAAATATATATGAACAGTAAATAAGTGTTGCTTTCATATTCTTATGTAAAGTAATGACGATATGTTTTCACGTGTGCGCACTTACATACGCGATCTCTCTTTTTTCTTTACCATTATAGCTAGCTACTTCTATTGTTCCATTTATTAACATTAAATAACATTACTTAAAACAACCATATTAATTTTACTACTGCTACAACCAAGGTCTTATTTTCTTCAGTTTTATATGTAGAACCAGTCAGTCACTGGTTTTGTAATCATCGAAAACAATGCTGTGTCATTTCCTCGTGTGTTTTAATATTCCACCTATTATTAATGAATTGTATTGCTCATTTTGCACACATAAACATTAATTCAATAAAAAAGACATTCAG